CCTATACATTAAGCGATGTCTTTGAGATATACTTGAAAGAAAACAGTACTAATATTCTTAGAAGAATATCTGTGTGATATTTCAGGGATGTGATATCACATGATATCACGAAAATGACGTAGAAACGATATCATTCTACAATCAAATTATATCATGTGCCGTCTGGGTAATGACGTCATATCTTAAAAGAAGAAAGTTGGTTTTACATAAAGCATGTGTTTTGAATATATATATGTTTCTAGAACTGTGTTACATAAAAGAAACCTTCTTAGTAAATGTGACGTCATTAATCGTTCTGAGAATGATTAAGTCGAACTTTAATTATATCATAAAATTTGAACATAAAATAAGAACAAAACCAAAAATTCAATACAATACAATATGTATAGTTCAATAAGATAAAATAGAAACTTGTTAGAATAGATTTAACCAAAAAACATTAATATAGTATTTTTGTTGTTTTTGCATTCTTTCCTTGGCCTTAACCAACCACATTTTAATAGCACTTTCAACATCTGATGCCGTTGTATTTGTGTGGATTGTCATCACAGATCCTAAAAAAATTGCAAAAAATTGTTTTATATAATTTAAATTTTAACTTATATTTATACAAATTTGTTGCACAAATAATATTATAATAAATATTATATAAATATTATATATATTATATATATATTATATTATATAAAGTTTAAAATTCTTACTTATTATTATTTGAGAAATAATCAAATTAGAAAAATTTGGGGTCGTGGCCCCGAGTAAGGTTCCGCAGGTTTTATCCGGCGGTCATTGTTTGTTTACAAGTTATTATAAAAAAATGTTTTACAAATTATCCCTTATTTTTCGACATCATGTACATTGAAAGAGTAAACATGTTGTTCCTATCGGAGCATTACATACCTACGTACAACCTTGACATATTATATCAACATACGTCTTTGGTTTGATTTCCTCATTGACAACATGTATAGCTTGCCAGTTCGTGTCGAACCTTATGTAGAATTTTGCTAAGCATGGAAAGTGTATGCGTGGAAGAAGTGTGTTCCGCCCCCCCTGCGAGGGGGCGCAGCCCCCCCCTGCCTACATCCTTACAACATAAAAAAAATGTACATGATGTCGGGAAAACAAATTTCTTTATGAAACTTTTTTTGTTCATAACTTTTTTATAAACAATGACCGCCGGATAAAACTTGCGGAACCTTACTCGGGGCCACGACATTGATAATATATCCTAAGCTCAAAGTCATCGGAAACTGCTCCCCTTTTCTGCAGTTTTACCAATTTTTCAAATAAAGATTCTTGAATAGAAACTTCTTTTTCTACAATATTAGTTTTCTTAAGATTATTTAAATCTTCCGCTACTTGATCTATCTTGTAATTAAGAATCGATAGCATTCTTAGTACTTGCTTTTTGTAGACTTCATCTAGAAATTACAAACAAATCTTAACAAGTATATATAATAAGAATAAATAAAAAATTCGTAATTTTTATTTTTATAAAATAACATTTGACAATGATGTTATTTTACTGATAGTGACTGCTGTGTGAATCTGTTATAGAATTAATGTGCAAATTCACGTTCGTTTTAACGTCGCACATATATAGTCACATGACTTTGACTTGACGCTAGCATAAAAAAAAAATATTGGGAATTTAATGATAAATCCTTTTTATGCATTTATTACAATCCAGCGTCAACTTCTGATAACATGATCTATTTTGACGCTAAAATAAGTGTCAGCGTGAAAAGGCATCTTTAGAATTAATAGAAAATATTCAAAAAGCAACACTATACCTTTTGAAGTGGTTTGAGACTTATCAATATTTGAAAATTTTTCTCTTGTATTTGGAATGTCTTCTTTTGTACGCAACACTAGAAAAAAAACCGATGAGAATTATACAAAAAAAAGAGAATATTTAATGCTATCAGTTGCTACTAACCTGAATCAGTTTGAATACTGGTCATATTTTTTTAAATTGATGCCATAGAATTTTCTTAAAGTATAAAAATCTTAGAGTCAATTAATAAATGAAAAATTTTAAATATATCATTTACCTTTGGTGGGTTTTTTTAAAATTGGAATATTGGCTATTTTGTTTTCTTTATCATTTTCTTCACTTTCTTCACTTTCTTCATTTTCTTTATTTTCTTTATAATTTATAATGCTCTTTTTTTGAAAGAAAGTGGTAAAAGTGTTAATTGGTCTTGAATCTGAATCTGAATCAGACGTAAATCTTTTTCTTTTAGTTTTTCTTCCACATCTTTCATTGTCTGATGCTAAATCAGAAGTTTCTTCAGCTTGAGCTGCTTTATTTCTTGCAACACTCAGATCTACTAAAATAACAATTTGTTATTTATGGTTATTTATGTTATTTATAGTTATTATTATAGTTACATAAAAAACTTATAGATTTTATACATTATACATTTTTCCAAACAATGCTTACTAAAATTCACCAATTAGCCTGCATTGATGAAGATCCCAATCATGAGCAGGTGGGATGCAATTTTGTATTATATTCCTTAATTTTAATCCACTGTATGATGGCCAAAAACATGCATAATTATTCTTGACCCAGGTCGCTGACACGGCTTCTACCGTATTTTCTTTCATAAAATGCACCACTCTCCAACTCATTTCCATAATATCTAGAATAAAAAATAAAGTAAAAACTAAAGTAAAATCAAATTAAAACAAACTCACTGAATAATTAAAATATAAATTATCTCATTTACCTTTAAAGTAATATATTAAAGTAATATTATAGATTGTAGAGATGTAAAATTTATATTTAATAAACATTTTAATGAAGAAATGGATAAAATATAAAGCTTTCTTTTTGAATAAAGACTATCATCTTGTTTTTAATATCTTTCACATTTCGTATACAATATTCACTCAAATTCTTTGCAATACATATGTTAAAAATATTCAAATCACAAAAATATTCGTCCATATATATAAATAGTTTTTTTTTCTAAAATATTTTCTATTTTCATAATGTGCCCATTGTTTAAATAGCAAAATGAATTAGCAAGAGTTTCAATATTGGAACTAAACTTTTCAAGAGTTAATTTTTTGAACTGATTATAACTTTGATTAGGAACTAGACAAACAATGACTAACAATTGTCAGCACAAATTAACAGGTTAGGTATATTTGTCACGGGCTGAAAACGGAACGCAACTACGCGCGGTTATTGCCGTCATTGCCAATGTTTCCAAAGTTGCGGAGCGCCCTCTATATATGCGTTGGTCACTTAGCGTTTATTTTCCGTAAAAATGTTCATAGAATGTAATAAGAATTGTGATAAATAACATTTGAGTCAAAAACAAAATAGAATATTATAAGAATATATATTAGAATATCATTAGAATATTCTGAAATAATCACCAAAGAATATTCTAATAACATTCAAAACATTCTTAGAACTTTATAAGAATATTCTTTTCAAATAGTCTTAGAATATATAGAAATCCTCTTTTTAGAATATTCTTTGAATATTTTGTGCTGTCTGAGATGTTTCCCAACAAACACGGCGATGTAACATATATAGTTTAGATTCATAACAGTAAATACCTGTTATATAGTAACTAACGTACATGTATGTTACATGTACAGCTGAATGTCAGCAACAAAAGCATTTCTCTGATATATCAAAGATATGTATCTC